CATCAGCTCTGGGCCTCAGAAGATAGGAAAACTGTCATTCTCGTTCTAAAATATGACATTCTAGATAGAGGGGGTCTAAAACATAGCATGCCTTTTCTCTAATGCATTGCAATACTAAAGCTGAAGAATAGACATTGTTCTGGAGTTTTCTCAGAACAAATTTGTTTTAAATATACTTGTATAATACTCTACTTAAATGTTCCCTTTGTAGTAGGAACTTAGCCCATATCTGGTTATGATTTTAGCTTCCATACATTGTTGTGAGTGTGCAGAAAATAAGGCATAAATTTATTTATTTATTTATTTATTTATTTTATTTTATTTCTATCCCGCCTATCTGATCATATTAGACCACTCTAGGCGGCTTACAGTAAAAACAACAATGTAATTTTAAGAACTTTACAGCAGAAAATAAAAGGTTAGGCCATATAAAGTAGTGATCAGTTTGCTTAGATGTTAGGAATATGTTTCTTCCCCTTTTTTCAAAGATTCCTACATCTATTTTATCTTAATTTCACATATAGTAAGCAGCAACTCCTCACTGATTATAATGAACAAGTCTCATGAGAGCGAGAAGCTGAAAAAACTAGCCAAGTAATTACATCAGCAGTAGCAAATTAGAAAAAAGAAAGGTAGGAACCAGTGAACCCACTCTGCTACCAAGACTGGCTTTAGCCAGCAGAGGCCAACAGTACATTATTTGCTAGTAATATGGCTTGAACTAATTTTTGACCAATAGTATACACCACAACTCTCTCTCAAAAAAATTCATTGTTAGTGTTCTAGAACACTTTTCTCCTAAAAAATATTAAAAGGTACAAGTCTGGGCATGGCTCTGGACTGAATCGGTATCAGCAGCTGCAGTAAGCAATTTATACCCCGACCAGATAGGCGGGGTATAAATTAAATAAATAAATAATAAATAAATAAATTCATATGAATCCTTGTCATTAACTATGGATGAGATACGTTTTGAAACACTCTGGTCATTTTCTAAAGAAGCCACTTTAAAGCAGGAGTTGCATACCTAACCTGTTTGATCAGTTTAGTTAAAGTCATGATTTCTGGTTTGTATGCAGCAAGATTTTAGAAAGTGAAAAGTAAATTTTGCTAAATCCCTCTTTCTAACCACATGAAAGACAAAGGCAAGCACAAAAATTCAATGCTTTACTAAGACGGAGTGAGGGTGCAGAGTGCTATATTGTGAGATTTGCTGTGGAGGTAAAATGGATGCATTCAATTTTTAAACAACTGATTGCAGAATATAAAGGCCAGTGAGAATCAGCCTAGTCCCTTTCGAAGTGAAGTTTTCCCCTCTTGCCTCTGGGGCTTCTGCACTTTCCAAGATGGAACAATTCAAATGGTATTTTCCCCATGTGATCAGTTGTCCCCAAAAGGACAGAGGTATTTCTGTGGGTAATATTCTGGTGACATATTAAACTGAGCATGATGTTTTGGACAACAGGAACACCCGCCCATGCAATCTTTCTCCCAAGTCATCCTGAATTTTGTAAAAACAAAAGAAAAACTCTACAGAGTTTAGGGCTAGATCACCTTATTACTGCATTGATATTTTAGTTAAGTGTTAGATGACCTCTGCAGAGGCAAAAACAACATCACGAATCTGAAATGGACACAACTCTGATGAACTGCTCCAGAACTTTGGAAAACTGCCCCTTTCCCCTAATTCCATCCCCTAAATAGTCCGCAGGCTTTGTAATGAACCATAAAAGGAGATCTGGGCATCAGCAGACATGAGATCAAAGTAAACGGGGCTGTGGTGGAGATCAAATCACATTGGATGGCAGAGCCAGTGTGGACACTGGCACCAAAACCATCTGTGGTCTACACGTGATCACCTAATCTAAATAGAATCCATGAATGCCACAGCAAAACTGAATTGCTCTGATTTGGCTTGCAAATATAGTCATAGCTTCATCCAACTAGTGTTAAAACAAGATTTAGCATTACAAATAAATCATCTCAAATTGCTTCCCATTTACAACAATCCTAATAATGATTTCATGATATATAAGATGATAAACTGAGCTGCCATAGCCAAGTGAGGATTTGAATTGAGGTCTCTTGAATCGCAATCCCAAAGGGCAGTGTCAAAGAATGCTCTAACTACCACACAATTACACTCATTTCATACGCTAGCAAGGTTATGCTCAAAATCCTCCAAGGTAGGCTTCAGCAGTATGTGGAACAAGAACTCCCAGAAGTACAAATTGGATTTCGAAGGGGCAGAGGAACTAGAGACCAAATTGCTAACATGGGCTGGATTATGGAGAAAGCCAGAGAGTTCCAGAAAAACATCTGCTTCTATGACTATGCAAAAGCCTTTGACTATGTGGACCTCAACAAACTATGGCAAGTCCTTAAAGAAATGGGAGTGCCTGACCACCTTATCTATCTCCTAAGAAATCTATACATGGGATCGGAAGCAACAGTTAGAACTGGATATGGAACAACTAATTGGTTCAAATTTGGGAAAGGAGTACGACAAGGCTTTATATTGTTCCCCGGCTTATTTAACTTATATGCAGAATACATCATGCGAAAGGCCAGACTGGAGGAATCAACCACTCTGATGGCAGAAAGTGAGGAGGAATTAAATAACCTCTTAATGAGGGTGAAAGAGGAGAGTGCAAAAAATGGTCTGAAGCTCAACATCAAATCGATACAGTTTTGTTTGCATGAACAAAGCCTATCTGCGTGGGGGGTCCTTAAAAATCTGAGACGCCTGCTTCTTGGGAGGAAAGCCTCGACAGCATCTTAAAAAGCAGAGATATCACCTTGCCGGCAAAGGTCCGCATAGTCAAAGCTATGGTTTTTCCAGTAGTGATGTATGGAAGCGAGAGCTGGGCCATAAAGAAAGCTGACTGCCGAAGAATTGATGCTTTTGAATTGTGGTGCTGGAGGAGGCTCTTGAGAGTCCCCTGGACTGCAAGTAGAACAAACCTATCCATTCTAAATGAAATCAAGCCTGAGTGCTCACGGGAAGGGCAAATCCTGAAGCTGAGGCTCCAATACTTTGGCCATCTCATGAGAAGAGAAGACTCCCTGGAAAAGACCCTGATGTTGGGAAAGTGTGAAGGCAAGAGAAGGGGAAGTCAGAGGACGAGATGGTTGGACAGTGTCATCAAAGCTACCAACATGAATTTGACTCAACTCTGGGAGGCAGTGGAAGACAGGAGGGCCTGGTGTGCTCTGGTCCATGGGGTCACGAAGAGTCGGACACGACTAAATGACAACAACTCCCGAGTCCTAATCTGGCCAGAATCCTATTTGTTATATGCTTGCATATAATACACAGAGTACAATGCAGTAGCCAATTGACAGTAGTTAAGAAGCCAATGCTTGTATTGTTCTCTGTGTTCCAAGTTATGTGATTGGTGTTTGACAAAGAATAAAAAGCAGACTTCTTATCTAGTGGCTATTGACCACTGTGATTTACACCATTTGACTCACACCAATGTCAGTAAACAACAAGATTCTGGCCGCTCACCCTATTATACCTCATTGACTCTCACCAACATAATGCTTAAATCTTTTTGCTGGGCTGCTGCAAATTAAGGCCAACATCACTCCCCAATTACAAAAATTATAAACAGCAATATCGGATCTGATCAAAGGTCCATCTGCTTTCCCTCTTTCCTCAGTTGCCAGAGCCCTCTCAATAACCCCCTAGGAGCAAAAAGGCCAGTGATCGCCCGCACTGCTGGCACTTCCCTGCAACAAGTACTCTGCCAGAATAAAAGTGTATCACTATAGCTAAGAATGAACAGTACTGTTTTTGTATCATTGTGCCATCCCTTTAAAAAAAAGTATGTAAACTAGTTGCCACTTACAGTAGCAGCTTGTTTAATACCATGTTGTGTTAAAGTGCATTAAGTTTAAACCAGGCCCAGAAGTTTCCTAAAGTACTTTTTTATTAAGAGTCAAGATAAGTTGTAAAAACAACCTTAGTATAAAGGCACAGGAGACAGTTTTGATAATCAAATTAAACAGTAACTTACAGTACAAAAGACATTTTTATGCACATACAAACCCCAGACATCTCATTCAAAAATATTTCACCATTATTTGTGGGCAATGACTAAAAATATAAATTGTCCTTGTACAATAAATACTTGGTAGGTGCAAATTGAAAAAAACTTATTGCTTTCCACATAGGTGTTTTCCCTGTAGACTGAAAATTGTGGATTCTTTCTGTTAGTAGAATCCTATCAGCATATTATTTCAAGGGGGGGACATAAACTCCAAACTGCAGTCTCACAAGAACATTTGGCAGCTAAAATGCCTCAAGTAGCTGGCAGTGTTTTATGTTGTTTAAAGCCTACAGCAATCATACACCTCACTCATCAGAAAATGTGGTATTAAATTAATACCGTGGTAAAACAAGGCCTTTTGTAACAGGCTAGGGTTTAGTCTCATATTTAAGTTTTGCTCAGAACATGAATTAAAACAAAGTGAAAATACCCTATGTGATCCAAATAAAGAAATCCAAGAAAATTAGGCAAGATTACACTTTCTGAAATAAATGGAATTTCATACATTTGAATCTACATTATTTCAGCAGGATGCATGCCTAATGTGCTTTGGACTGTGCCGTATCAGAGATGAAAGGGGTGTCCACAGAAAGAAATATTTTTTTTCAGGAGAAGACAGCTAAACAAAGAAATGAGAAAACAGGAGCTGTATGTTATCAGTATTAACCCAAAGAGAAATTAATTAAGGGCTTTACTATTTTTTTTACAACATTCCTAGAAAAATCTGAATGATTTCAGTTTTGAAACAAGAGTAGACTACTGCTTTGTCCCACATGTCCATATTCATTTTTAGCACTATACTGATCATTCTCAGACTACAGAAACCTATCTAAGTTTAACTTTAAGAATTGTGATTAGCTGTAACTACTTTGTTCCTTCCATAAAGAGGAACCTTTATATCACAATTTCGTTCTTCTAATCAAGGAAAACTCTGCAACTGCAGACTCTGAGGACCCAAGTGGTTTTATTTTTTGAGGAAGCAAAAAGAAAAGCAAGCTTCTTTAACAAAATATGTCACTAGTGATCCAATTTCTTAATCAACATCTGATTTATGGGAGTGATTTTAAGTGAAGAACCACCATCTGAATATTGTTTGAACTGCAACTGAAAGACTTAATGCAAGGCCTCTACAGTAAACATGAAAAGTAGTATTAAATAGTCAATCCCATGATTAAACGTTTCGTAAACATCATTACAATTCAAATTCTGCAGAACTGTGAATAAAGCAGAACAAATCCTAGCCTGCTAGGCATTCACCTATGGATCTTCATAAGGTTCTAACTAGAGGTGGAGTTTCTCTCAAGAATAACAATAAACCTGCTGAAAACTGTCAATGAATTAGTGTCACTACAGTACATAATTTTAAGTGACTAGGAAGTTAAATACAACCAATTTCTTTGGCTTGTAGTCCACTACACCATCAAACTGTTGTATCTGTCTTCATTTTAACTTGTTCTAACACTTCTCCCCCAAAAAACTTTAGTCTGGACCCAGTATTCATCATGCTTATAACAGATCCACTTAAATAATTTAAGTTTAATTTAGTCATGACTTAAATCTGAATGATTCTGATGGATCTACACTAAACATGGTTAAGTCTGGATCCAACCCTTTATCTTTTCAAAAGTTAGGTTTTTCTAAACATTGATTCCCTACTCAATGGGCATTTTTTCATATTAGAGTAAAGATGGAATACTTAACCAGTTTGTGAAGCATAACCTGCAGCAGAATTACAAAGAATTCAAATATAACTGGGTTATGTTCACATAACAGTTAAGGCTGTTTTTATAAGCATATCCTTAATAAGGCATAAAAACTGTAAGAAACAGTGGAAAGAGTTCAGTATGAGAATAAACATAGGATCCCTGCATGTTAAATGGCACACAACATTAAAATGAAAATCTACTACTTTCAAGAACTATGAGGGACATCTAGGGCTTTTCAGCATGTGTGTAAATGCCACTTTATGTTGTATGCAGGGATGATGGGGAAACAACAGAATGACAGCAGAAATAAAAGCCTATAAAACAGGCCAATATGACTTGACTTTCCAAGTAACGGTATTCATTTCATAAAACTGTGATACTAATGCAGGTTTATGTGAAGTCCTATTGATGCAAGTCAATTAAGTTGTCAACCTCCTCATGAGAGTCAAAATTGCTCCAGTTGCAGTAAGATATGTAGTTTTGTTTCTATAGAGCAACGTCCATATTTCAGAAAAGTTCATGGATGTTATTCTCTCTTTCTGGTTGACCTCCTGTTTGAAGTTCAGAACTCATTCATCCACGTGCCTTTGTCCCAACACCATACAGTTTCTGATCATCCATCCACTGTGAACTAGCTCACATTATTACTCAGTCGCCCAAGGTATTCACGTAATTCTTTCGCAGCTTGGAATCTACCATATCGCTTCTTTGGATTGGCACACTCATCCAACAAGGCCTCAAGTCGACCATCTTTGGCTATATCAGCTGGAGGATCATGAAGAAGTCCTCCAGAAGTGCCACGCCAGGTGGCATGTCTTGATAAAAGGTTCTGGCAAATCGCATAGTAATTATGGTCCACAGTGACACGAGTGCACAAGATCTCCTTTGAGAAAGAGAGACAAGCTTCTTTATCACAGTCATCAAACTTACTTTCATACCACACATCCCAGTTTTCTGGTTTATCTGTGGAAAAAAAGAACAGAGTAAAAACATCACATTTCGAAAAACTAGACATCTTCATAATTTTACAATTTCATTATTTTAGAAGCTGCAGGTGGGATAAGCTGACTGCTGTTTTTAAGAAGGTTGAAGGGTTTTAGTTTTTATTTCTTTCTACCACCTCTCCCCTCTTTTCTTAATAGGGACAGAAAATAGCTTCCCATCTACACAGGGGCAGGTGAAATTCCTCCTCTATCCTGAGAAGGGTAGTAGTAGGTGATACAGTATATGACAGGGCTTTTAACCTGATGGATCTAAACCTTGTGTTGATCTATTGCCCAGAATGCCCTTGCTTTTGCCCTTAGTATGGAGGCAGGAAAGGCATGGTGGTCAAACACCAATTCAACATATATTTTTCTCCAGAGTATCCTAAGGCTCTTGGATGCTTTCCCAGTTCCCACAGAACTGCAGCATGTCTGATTATTTGGTTGTTATTATTAGCAAAGAAATCAGTTAAATTCAATACATCCATGTAGTAATAAATGAACTAGATTTAATTTGTTCAAATATGAATTCTTGGAACTGCAATTTGAGAGCTTATTGCTGTATTAACTTGACTGTTCATTCTCAAAAGCCAGAGAGAGCAACCCCCAGCAGTCCAAGAGCTACACATACCCTTCCATGGATATTTGGAAACTGTGTCACACCTACAATTCTTACAAAAATGGGGTTTAAACACTCTCTTTATGACCTGAACTGGCTAATTTTATAAACACAGGGAAAGGGATTTGTGGGGTACTTCAAAACATCACAAAATTGCTCTCACACATTTTAGAGGGCACAAGGAGACTTCATCAAAACATTTTTTCAGAAGAATTTTACATTTTATGGAGTAAAATATTTGGCTGAGGGCTCTGTGCACGCAGCAGGTCACTTGCTGCCCACCACTGCTATGAGAAAAAGGGAGTAAAAAAACCAGCTTAAATTGTTAAAATATAACAAAAAGACCAACTTACTTTGTTTGATTAACCTTTTATCAGCCACCAAAACATTTTCAGCATCCACAATAATGACCTTTCCATCTCTAGGGCCTACTGCAAAGTTGTCAAAGCTAACATCGAGGAGGTAGAGTGCAAATTCAAAGTCATTGTTTGTCAGTTGCTCTGCTATTTCCATTAACTGCCAAGCCAAGTCCACTCGTTTTTCCCACGGAGAACTGAAGTAACTCCATAGTTCTTCTCCCACATAGTTCACAGCCACCATCCTTCCACATGCTCCCAAATACTTCGCAAATGGCCATCCCTCATCAGAAGGAAAACTCTGTAGAGAGAAAGACTTGTCAGTAATGCTGAATAATACAGACAAGTAAACCAGTGCCATGATCTTGGCTGTTGCTCCCATATTGTTAAATTCCTTTCTGAGAAACACTAGGCTAGCATTTTCATGTTCTTCTATTATAGTACCAGAAATGCCCCAGAGAAATATCTGTACTATTGCATCCATTCAGTGTAATATAGACTTGTTTCCAAAGAAACATGTCTCAACTTTCTAATTTACATATCTTTTAATGTAAGAACTAAATGATCTACATTCATGGTACAGCTAATTTAGGAAAGTTGTTACATAGTGCATTTGGCCCTTTGGTTTAAAATAACCAGCTAAGCACAGAAAATAAAGACATTTGCTCTCCTTCTCCATTGTGGGAAAATATCTAAATTTTTATAACTGCATTTTCCCCAAAGTCTCCTCACAAATGAATCTGAAAATGAAACAAAGTGAATATATTTCATTTTTTCACATTGACAAATAATATAGAAATAAGTCTCTTGCAGAAATCACACAAAATTGACAGCAGTACTTAGTCCTTAACTTTCCTTAAATGTATTTATTGTAGCATTTAGTTAATTTGCAGCTGACTTTTCTCCATGGAACTTTTTCTCTGTGGTCTTTCTCCCCCTTTTTATTCTGACGAAGTCACTTTCAACTTGCTTAGGCTAAGATAGCAACTGGCTCAAGAACACACAGTGTCTAAATGAGGATTTGACTCCAGGTCTCCCCACTCCTTATTAATAGCCTGATGTCCAGCTACATCTCAAATTTTTTTCTAAAACTATAATCTGCTGTTACCACAAAACTGACCCCTTGGCACCATATTACCACCCCCATTACAAAAGCACAATTCCCATCACTTTCTAGTTTGAATCTAAAAAGCTCTCTCTTCCTCAGAAACCAGCATTCACTTATTATAGAATCTCAGGTAAAGACAAGTGTTCCCTCTTCCAGTTCAGTAATACAATGTCCTCTCATATTAGAATATTGCATGTCTTTTCAACATCCTATAATATTAGGAATCATCGTATTTTTCGCACCATAAGACGCACTTTTTTCCCACAAAACAGGAGGGTGGAAAGTCTGTGCGTGTTATGGAGGGAAGAAAACAGATTATATTTTCCTGTTTTCTTCTCCTAAAAAATTGGTGCGTCTTATGGAAAGGTGCGTCTTATGGAGCGAAAAATACGGTATATGTTTTCTCAACATTATATAATATTACACATCATTAATATTAATCAACCGATCAAATATTAATCAAATATTAACAGAGACCTGAATATTGTATTATCATTTCAGCTATGCTATTATTGAAGCACAGCTGCAAATCACTGGTTCCAGCCTGAGGCACTGTCAAAGAGAGGCATGGCTTTTGTTGAGCAATTTCCAAAGAAGCAGCTGTGGAAACTTTCAGCATATTAGCAAAAGTAAAAGGTGGAAATTTTAAAAAGGTAAAACTACTGTGGCACTTATTTCATTGTGGGCTTTCATGAATGAAAATGCATTTCTTCAGATATTGGAATCCAAATCAATGATTCCTATATTTATTCCATGGTAATGAGGTTCATGCTCAGGTGAGAATATGACAACGGGGAAAGTGATAAGAGTGATAATTAACTATTATCACTGTTAATTAGCAGATTCTAGCCAAGGTTATAAGGTAGGTACAGCTGGCTGTCACAGGAATGTTAAGAGTTGTTTATGGGATAAAGGTCAGAGTCTGTCAAGAGAGGCAACTATTTTACACCTGTAAGATATTAAAGAACAGTGGCTTATTAATTATAAGAGCCCTGTGGCACAGTGGTTTAACTGCTATTCTGCTGACAACCTGGTTCAATCCTAGTGGATTCAAGTAACTGGCTCAAGATTGACTCATCACTCCATCCTTCTGAGGTTGTTAAAATGATTACCCAGCTCACTAGGGGAGGGAGCAATGTGTAGCATAATTGAATTGTGAACCACCCAGACAGTACTTTTCGGCACTATGGGGCAGTATATAAGCAGAAAATTTTTGTTTTTTATTCAAACTGGCAGTTCTTTAGACAGTCTCTACCAAGTAATTGAGATGACAGCTGCCTGGATGTAATATTCTTTTTACTTATGATTTATGCAAGTAAGTAATCTGAAATACATTTTATTAAAATAAAAGTTACCAAGTCATTTTAGAAGCATGTGTATTAGAATATTTTCTTTGCACAAATCTATTTTTGTGGTCTTTACAGTTGTCCTGTACTGCTACAGTATAGCTTAACACCTAGAACTGAAAGTAAAGAGAGATGCCCACTCCAAATAACAGGATCTCCATATATACATATCCATATATGCAACTATTTGTCAGGTTTTCTGGACAGCTCAGTGAGTTAGGGTGGGTGTCTGGTTCCCCACTGGCATCTCAGGAGACCAGTTACCATGTAATCTTGGGCAAGCTGCACAGTTCCAGGGCACCGCCAGAAAAAAGGGAATGCTAAACTACTTCTGGGTATTGTATATCTAGAAAAACCTGGAAAGGGTTTCCATAACTTAGAATCAACTTGCCAACACATTATAATAAATTACTTAGCAAGCTGTCCATCTGCGTAATCCAAGATTCTTTTTATCAGTCAGATGACATAGCCAATTTTCAAATTTGTTCAAAGTTCAGACCAAAAAGCACGATACAGCATAGCCAGTAACCATCTTTATTAACTCAGAGTGTATTGTACTGTATTTAGGAGTGTTTTGTACTATGCATGACACTCTCATGCATTATATTACCATAATACTGACACATAGAAAATAGTACAATGTTGCAATTCCTACTATGTGATATACAATTATTTATTTGAAGGACAAATAGCCCCCCTGGTATCCACAGTTTCAATTATCCACAATTATTAGTATAGATATTTTATACTATCATGTTGTTCTGCTTACTGTAGTACAGTGATACCTCGCTTAACGATTGCCTCGTTTAGCGATGAATTCGCATAACTATGTGTTTTTTTAGAAAATAATATGCCCTGTATAACGATGTTTCCTATGGGCAATTTTCGCTTAGCGAAGTTTGGGACCATGCTTCGCATAA